GATGATATTAAAATGGGAGGGTCGCGCATGGTATGGGCACACATTCCCAAAGTTTCAGCCTTCTATATTTTTCCGTTTTCAAGTTATGTGTATGGATTTGAAGAACAAAGACTGCTGAAACAAATATCAAGTCTGCCCGGACAACCGACTTGGGTACACCGCATCACTGTTGTCACTAGGATGCTCTAACACGACGAGCGTAGCTATGTCAGCAGCCTCCGATCTTGGGCTGCATACCCTTCGATTGGCACCTATTGCCATCTGCTTCGAAGCTAATACATGTGAAGAAGACACAGTTACAAGTGTCAGTGTTCACGATAGAACGGTGATTTTTAAATAGTAAGAATCAGATCAGTAACACTTTAATGTTTTATATCATTGTTATTACAAAAAAAAAGGTGTTACGAAGACATCGCCAATCGTTTGGTTGAAGAAGTATGACTTACTATGGTCAATCTACGCATTCCAAGTACGATATGTGTTTTACAGTACACCACAATTGTATGAAAACCGGCGCTATTACCGTACCACGGCGCTATTACCGTACCCCCCCCCCCATGATTGCTGCTTTTTGATATACTGTAATTTACAGGCCGAAGAAAGAATGGCTGTCCGCGATATTTTACTGTATTACTTGCTCAATGTAAGCTCGGGATTTTACCTCTCAGCTGCACACAATGCCTTCTATTTCGTACTGGACTGGCGTACTGTAGTGCTGCATTTTTTGCATTATTTCTTCACGTTTTGTTTTCTGTTGCTTTGCTCACTGATCGGCATGCATCACTGGTACAAACCGATACCTATCACACCACTACTACGACCCGTTATCACACAGACCATTATCGTACTACTCTCAAATCGTATCCACTCACAGCTGCGCTCCGGCAGCCTCTATTTGCTACGGTACGAATTTTTCATGTAACAACTGGAGAGCCGTTAACAATTCTAGGTGACACTGACAGAGTCCCAAAATCGTGCTAACCAATACCAAATGCAAAAAGCAAACGCTTAAGTCCGATGCCAGTTTTGCATACTGGCTAGGTTTTACAGTCTGCAAGCCAGTTGTACTAATTTTCCTGCAAAATTTTCACATACCCGTACGTGAGTGCCACGCGTAGTTCGGAGGGGCTGAATTTGAAATCTTTAGCTCATACATGCACAAAGGATATCCCTGCAAAGTCTCCTATCCTGTCTGGTTCCCGAAATGTGCGCCCCTCTGTACTGAAGTGGAACAGTAGGGAGAGTGTCTAGAGGTATAATTCGCCGTACACTTCTTCTTCCTAGGAGTGGTGAGCAGCGTAGCAGCGTCACTAGTAGGTGGTGAGATGAAAGCACACACATATAGAAAATGAGGAAATCTGGAATTCTTCCCTAAAAAATCGAAAAAAAAAAGTAAAGAAACAAACGTTAACAGAATCAGTAGGTTTACCTATGCAGAAGATGCAGCAACCATAAACAGTTTTGCAAGCTGTGTTGGTGGCAGTTGAACTGTATGTGCTACGATGAAACAGCAGATGATCAAAGTACTATAGAGCAACAAAACTGAAATCCATGCATCACAAAGTTTCTAGCTAATTAACGAGAACTTCGCACTGGACAAAATCAGCAAAAAACCTCTTCTTATTCACTGTGGAAGACGAAAAAACACTCCAGAAGTAGCCCGAATGGTAGCAAAACCCCTCAGCAACCCCTACGTACGGTTCCCCTGGCTTTTTCCTACGGAATATTCCAAAAATTATGAACAAATACTAACAAACTTTGTTTCGTAATTTTGAGAGAACTGAAAGCTAACAAATTTATAGATTATTCGATTTCTTGACAACGCTGACCGTAGCACAATTCTCGAAATCGCTACTCAGATCCGACAGCAGGCCTCCGATCAGTTTATTGGTAGGTCCATCAGATTTTTCAAAAATTTTGAGAAAAATTTTATTACACGCATTCCTCCTACCGCCAACGTGGAACTTACGTTATCAGGAACAGATGAGGTGAGAAGAAGGGTGATGCTCTAGTCGCACTACCACAAACGAATAAACTTTTCGAATAAAAAATACGTGAAACCTAAGCTAGACGGAGGCAAAATTCAAGTAGATGCCAGTCAAGGAAGCGGAAAGTTCCTTTAAAATAACTCAAAAAAGAGGGAATTTTAAGAAAACTGGGGGGAAAAAATCCACTAGAGCATAAAAATTAACGAGGGAGGAGAGGTAATGGGTGAAAAATACCCAAGCGGGATGATGTAAAAATCGTACCCAGAGAATAAAAAGCACGAAACTTACGCAGAATTCACAAAAAATAGCTAGGGATACAGGAAATTTTTACTAACCAAAACTGCGCAGAAACTTGCTGAAGAGGAAAATTCAATCATTCACTTAGCAAAAAGTCGTGGTTGTCTCAAACAAATGGCGTAAAAGACCAAAAAA